GTCCCCGGGGCAGGGGATAAGAAACGGGGCAGACACCCCGCTACAGCAGCCGGTGGAGCTCCTCGAAGTTGAGCAGGTTGTTGGCTGTCTCGGACCAGGCGGCGTGGGTCGCCCCGTCCATCTCGGAGGCGAGGCTGTTGGTGCTGTCCAGAGCGTGGTTTGTGCCCCCGATGACTGCATGGCACTCGGGGCACTTACTCCTCTCCATTGCCCCCCCACAGTCCCCAATCACATAAATATGCCCATTTTTGCACTTGAACCAGTGGCCACGGGGACAACCAATAGCACTGACAATCTGCACTCGCTCAGCTTCCGAGATCCCTAGCCCTGACACAGGCAACGCAGTGCAGATTCTTTCCAGGTCAGCCTTCACCACAGCCTCATCCTGCTCTGTGAATTTCTTTGTCCCTTCCAGGATGTCACGTGCGCGGGCAATGGCTGCTGCAAGCGCGGGGGTGATCATCCCCCTCCCACCTTTGCACCTTGCCAAGAGGCTCAGCAAATAGGTCAGTCTCTGGGTCTCAGACTGCAGGTCAGAGAGCTCCTGACCGGTAAAACTGATGCGGGGCTTATCCAGCCACTCCTGGACTTCATCCAGCCGCTTTCTCAGCCCTTTCCTCTCCCTCTCGTCAATTTTGCTCATAGAATTGGTTAGGTCTGCTACACGTTCATAGAAGTTAAGCTGGTTCTCAATTAGTCCAATACTCTTTGTGGAGAGATCAGGTGCTTTTAGTTTATCTTCTAGCATGAGGTACTTAAGGGGTAGATTCCTCTGCAGAACAGCATTCCCTGTCAGTGCTGCCTGCAGTTTTTGTCTGCTAGACTCAATTTCCTGTGCTGAGCCTTGGATTTTCTCTTTCACCTTTTCTATCTCATCTAGCCGCCTTTTCACAGTGGTACCGTATCTCAAACTCTTTCTGATAGGTGTCTGACAGATAGGGCATACTTTCAGCTTGATGACATCATCATCTTCATCCATATAATGGTCAAGGCCTTGGGATTCAAAAACATGGCCACAATCTTCAAGCTCTACAAATCGAGCATCTGGGTCTTCCTCAAAGCCAAAAAATATCTGGGTGAGTTCCTCACGGTCACAGACAAGGCACTTCTTTGGGCAGGGCTCTCCACACAATCCACTACAAGGATGACCACAGCACAGTAGCTTAGCACATGGTACATTGCAGCGAGGCCTATTGCATGGCTCAGAGCAAAGACTGGTACACTGGTAGTGCTGGCACCGCCACTCACATGGCTCGGTACATGGAAAACATCTCTCTCCACATTTCTTTTTACACCTACTGTGGATACAGTGGTTCTGACATTCCAGCTGACAGGGAGGGCATTCTGTGGTACAAGGCTGCTGACACTTGTGGCCGCAGACCAAGAAGCGCTTGCACGGGCTGTTGCATGCCTTATGAAATCTTCCTTCAAAGCAGGTATGACAGGAACCCGAGCATCCATGACCACACTCCAGTGTAACAGAACACTTAGTCTTACATTCCACAGGCTTGTCATGTTTCATCTCCTCAGTGATCCAGCATTTAACTTGCTGGTTGTGGCCACACTTCAGTGTGACTGAAAACAATTGTTGCATGTGTGCCCACAGTTCAACTCCTTCTGGCAAGGTTCTTGGCAAAGAAACTCACTGTCTGGAATAGAGCATGGCACCATCTGCAGGTGGCCACACTTAGAAATCGTTTTCTCTACTTTCACCATGCATGGCCCACAGGGCTCATAACATGACCGTGGACAGCGGTGCCCATCTGCACAAAGCACCTTTTGACAGGGCTTCAAACACTGATACTCTTTGTGCTGTGAGTCATATGGGTGACATGCCCTTGTGCAAACATGTCCGCAACTCAACCTAGATTCACAGGGACGACTACAGCCTCCTTCGGGGACTTTGCTGAAGTCTGCTGCTGTAGATACCAGTGTCTTGGTTTCAGGGTGGTTTTGACAGCAAAGCACCAATGAGCAGCCAATGTGACCTTTCTCCCGAAGGGTGTGAATGATCTTGCTCCAGAGAGGAACCTTGCCAAGCATTCTCATATTTCCAATGCAGTACAGCCCTTTCTTAGCTCTGGATAATGCTACGCATATCCGATTAGGGATCTGCAAGAACCCAGTTCTCTCCTCTTTGTTGCTCCGCACGAGTGACAGCAGAATAATATCATTCTCCTCCCCCTGGTACTTATCTACCACATGAACCTTTACACCTGCAAAGGTCTTGGCTGGCATGAGCTTACGCAGACAGAAAAGCTGTCCAGTATAAGTAGTGAGAATGGTGATCTGAGAAGGTAGATAATCCTGACACAAGAAGTATTTGCACAGTTCCACTACAAACTGGGCCTCATGTGGGTTCTGGTGGCTTTTTCCTTCCTGGATCTCTTGCTCAGGAAAGTCATGTTCCACAAAGAAGAGGTTAGATAAGACCCCCTGAAACAAGAGAAGAGAGCGTTAGAAACAGAATTTTAGCTTCTGTTACTGCAGCCTGTTTCCATGTCCCCAATTATCCACTGACAGGGGGACTCTGAAGGGGAGGGCTACAGTATGCAGTTACTGCATACTTAGGCAATTTACTCTTAGATTTCCATAGCATATTAATCAGATAGGAATTTAAGCTTATTAATCACATTTCAGCTAATCAGTGACATTTCAATATCCTAATATGAAATCATTTCCTGTGGATGATTTTATTCCCTATCTTTTCAGAGTTGTTTCTACTGTACCTTTTCAGGTTGTAGAAAAGAGAAGATTAAGTGCTAGTAACATTTCTCAAAGCATTGTAGTTTCATTTCACATTCATGAACAACGTCTTGTTTTGGCCACGTGGGAAGAAGACAGTAAGTTACCAGGGCACAGGGCTTAGCACTTGCCTAAAAATACCTAGCAAAACCCATGGCTTCTCTGTTACTGCGGTAAAAACATAAAGCAGCAAAGAGGATTGCTTTTCCACCAGGAAAACCAGGCACACTAAGGACTCTGGTACTCACTTACCAGCTCCAGGGGTATAGTCTGCTCACCTGTTCAAAAAATTCCATTTGCCTGGAATTAGGCAAAAAAGAAAGATCCCTGCTATTAACTGCAATTCTTCTACCCATAAGAAATTCTTGGGCTGTGTGCCAAAACCCAGAGACTGCTTTTATCAGGAAGAAGCAGCTTTTCTAGATCAAACACAGACCGCTGGATTTCCAAGGTGTCCATACTGGTAGTGTCCACTGCTGTACAATTTAATTCAGTTATCGCCTATGTTGGTTATTGTACTAGAAGGGAAGATTCGCTTGTGATGCCTTCTGGTGTCTCAAGTTTGGTTTAAGGCCAAATGGAACCATAAGGTTCTCCAGAATATCTTTTCAACGAAGAAACGGGGTAAAATTTTGTGGTTTCCTTAGTTGCTGTGTGTTTTGGGTGGTGTTTTTGTCGGCAGGTTTTTTGTTTGGTTGGACTTTGGGGTTTTCTTGCTGTTTTTTATTTAACTAAAGCATCTTCTACAAAACACTTGATTTGGGTTTCAAGATACCAAAAGAGGACCTGCCACTTTCCCAGATAGCTTATTCTAGTAATTAGATCATCTTCAGTACTAATTTTCTCTTGTCTGGCTTCAGCATTCTGCTATAGTTTTCAGTATGCTTTACTCATCCAGTTAAAGAGCTTATAACTAGTTAGTACTGTCTTTTCACAAAGAGATTTACATAGGCTAAGCCACTGTAATCCTCTTTCTGAAACTACCTCCAATTCTTTCTCCCAGGGTAGTCACTTGCGCTTCAGAGATCCGAAGTCTAGCTCTGATATAGCTTAGCAGTGTAACCTGGGCTCAGACTTCTGGGGAAATAGGTAAGATGTGACAGAGAGCTGCAAGCAAGTCCACAGAACAGGGCTATGCAAGTTAAGACGTGAAATTACAGAGATATGACTTAATAGTTCAAAGACACAAGAAAAGCACCAACACTGAGAGATACGAAATCCTAATTAGGGTGGGGAACTACAAATCAGAAAACAGGGAGCTGGCGTTAAGACGGAAACTCTGTAACATTGATGAAGCAGTAGAGGCTGACACTTCTGACCAATACATGCCTGACTCTAGCAAAGACTCTGTAAGTGTCTTATGGTGTGGCAAGCATACTGATGCTTATAACTTATTAAATTCTAGCTGTTTATTGTGTGTGTTAGCCAATAAGTGTTTGCTTTATACCTTTCCACTGAACAGGTCTTGTTTGCAGACATTGTGTACTGGTAAAATGCTCAAACAGAGAGCACAAGGAAGGAGGGTTCCAGTAATCAAGTCACCTTTCTTATGCTGGAGTTTCCCATATTATGCTTTAAGTCTCTCATTTAAGATATCTTCCCAGCTTTCACTCTCCTACAATTCTTTCAGTCCCTCTTCCATTTTTCACTGTTTTTTTAAAGTCATCAGTACTAGATTAATTTCCAGCATCCACCATCACTAATGCCAGAAGAACTACAAATTACTTGCCTAATTCTATATCATGTATTTCCTTGATTCAGATATAAATTTCAGTAACTGAACTTGATTTAAGAACTTGAAATCCTTGAACATTATATTTTACAGAAACTCATTTTAGCCATTAACAGGGGACAAAAGCAACTGCTTGGATTGCTGAAAACTCACTTTTATGTTCTCGTACTTCAGGACAGAGGGATGGTTCTCCAGCTCCTGGTATATATGAGGACTGAGAAGCTGGGCAATTTCAGGACGCATGCGGTGCTGAAACACAAAGCAGCTTTATCAGTCTTGAGGAAGGAGCGCCGTATTTGCCTATCAATATTCTGTTGTTCCACTGTACGGACTGTGGCTGAATACGAGACAAGGATGACTTTCCAGTAAGAGTCAAGAAGCGGGCACCTCCCGATCCCCACATTCCCCCCACCCCATCACTGCCACCACCAGCAATTACAGGGGGAGCAGCAGCAGAGTATCTTCAAGAAAATCATTTGGCAAGGTTATCATAATAAGAATGCTGGTTTCAGCGCAAATTTAAGAACGCTGTTCTAGATAACGAAAGCCAGCACCTCACCCTAACCACTACATGAGCTCTTCTAGGTAGTTTTAATACAGGACTGCTGGAAGTAGAATTAACTTCTCCAGGCACAAAGATAGATGACTGTAGCAATTTATCAGGAAGCAGCCTGAGAATACTTGTGCTGTCAGTCTCCAGCGTTCTGGAAGTTTCAGACGCCACAATAATCCATGTTCATTGCACCAAAACATATGGGAACCACAGTGCTGCAGGCAACATCACCGAATAATCGGAAATATATTGGAACGCTGTTTGTGGCAGTTTGACAGCTCTTACCATTCTTCTTGAAAATTAAATAGCACATTCTTTTCTTTTAGGCTGCTCAGAGTAGAAACGTAAACTTAAGCGTACTACAGACTTAAAACCACCTAAATGCAAATGCAATGAAGTTTTTTCTAGCTCTTCCTCACTTGGTATTTCAGACGGACAAAGGGGAAATCCACTTTCACCAGCCGTTCAAAGAGAGAGACTTCCAGATTGAAGTTCTTGGCCAGATCATATACATTTGCACTAGGCTGCAGCTGAAAGAGAAGGGATAGGATGTTCACGTTTTAGCACTTTTCCTATGTATTAGTCAGATTTATTCACTCATCTCTTCTTCTGTCACTGGTTCCCCACAGAAAGGCCCAGAGACTGGATTCTCGCAGAAATACTAAATATTGAAGTTAGATACAGTCACAGATGACATAGACACAAGCACATGTAAAATTGCATCAGCTAAACTAAAAGACAAGTCCCACGGGAGCCCTACTCCAGAACTACAGGAGATAGGACCTGTGGTATCTGTGGAAGCTGGGAAGCAGTAAAGTCTTGGCAACCTTTCACATGTGGTGTTTGGTTAAAAGGTTCTAGTTCATCTGCACAACAGTTAGAGGCATTAGTCATGGATGTTACCTGCTGATGATCTCCAATAAGGATAAGATGCTGGCAAGCTTTACTCAGAGTAGTAATGGTGTGAGCCTCAAGCACCTCTGCTGCCTCTTCTACAATGACAATTCGTGCCTCTACTTTTTGCAAGATCTGACGGTATTTGGCAGCACCTGAGTAAGAAGAGATGATAAACCTTAGTAAAATATAATTACATGCAGGCAATACGACAAGAGTTTCAGAGAGGGGAGTAGGCTGCGTCCCAAAAAAGACTGGGGTTCCTCCCAAGATTCCCCATTTCAAGACTCAGACTTTCTGAACTTTAAAACAGCACCATACCAACGATGGCTTCTATAGGAAGTGTTATTAAGGAAGGCAAGTGGGGATTAGATGCCTTGGCCCTTTCCCAATGCTTTCTTCAGACATAAGATACCTACTCCATACATTGATCAACACATATAAATAAACCTAAAATTGTCTATCCAAAGGGTCATATTACAATGACCTTTACACTGTCATTACCAGAAGGTGATGTGCGGATAGCAGTGCAGATATTAGCTATGCTTTACCCAGGCACAAAAAGTGAAGCATTTCTATTAGAAGAACGTTGCTCAAGATGGAGGGAGTGCAAGAGTGCACAGACTGCTCATGCAGTTAATTGACAACTTGCACAATAGGCACATTTGCAAAGGCAGTCAGATTAAGAAGGCTGCAGACTAATTCAGAGCCTGACCCAGGCTGTCAAGCAGCACATGATACTAATCCTTTGGCAACAAGGTCCTTTAACCATTACTGGATGCAGTGCAATACTGGTTTGCTTCCCAACTACTGTGCACCTGTAGTTGTCATCCCCACGATTTGGGCCTCCTTGAGAATGCAGAGATCTTCCTGCAGCCTCAGTTCTGTCAGTCTTTCTGCTGCTGCCTGATACTGCTGTTCATGTTGCAGAATCCTTCGTCGAATAAACCCCTGATAGGTCTGCAGCCAAAGCCTGAGAAGAAAGCGCCATTATCACACACAGCCAGGGGAATAGAATAGCGATTCAGAAATTCTGGGTGGATTCAGTTCAAAACTCCCTCAGTGTCTTTTGGGAAAGAGACTACTAGCATCTGTACTTAGTCCCGAACACACACAGTGGAGAAGACGGCACTGCCCATGCATACAGGGAAGGTAAGAACAAGCATGTTCAAATAAGGAGCTGAACAGATATGGGCAGAAACACCATGCCTTGAAAGAAAGTTTGCAACTGGAACAGTCCTAGGAAACATTTTCCTGACAGACCCTACAAAACAGCTTTGTCACCTGTAAAGCCTCCAGCGGGAGCTCAGGTCAAGTTGCCACAGATCCTGAATAGCCTTGGCCTCTAACTCTGTCATTGCACTCAGCTTACGAAGCTCAACCTTCATCTTCTGTTTCATTTTCTTCCTCTGGGCAGCAGTTATCTGCAGAAAAAAAGCTCCCCAATAAGCAGTTACCGCACAAAGATTCTTCTGTATTAGCATCCCCGTATTATTCTTTACACAGTCAAGCAGAGCCAGAACATGCTAGTGCATGCAGTTACCTCCCACTGCATAGCCTTCTGTTGTGGTTGGGCTGTTCCTTCTTCCCAGTCCTCCAGCTTCATAGCCAACAGCACACTGGCTAGGTCATGGACAGCTCTGTGCTCTTCCTCCTTCCTTCCCTGAGGCTTTGCTGCCTCTTCATCCTCAATTACTCTGTCAGCTTGAATCAGGTCAGCCTCCTCTGGGATCTCCAAAAGCTCCTCTTCTGCTTCACCTTCCCACTCCTCCTCTCTCTCCTGCTGACCACCTGCAAGAGTCACTAGTCACATGCAGTAAGCCACAGCCACTCTAGCAGAATCACAGTGCAGCAGTCAGATCACTACGTGGAAATTGTTAATCTTCTTTCCACTATGTTACAGTATCATGCATCTTTCAGTGTCTGCTAAGTAGCAGTGTCTTTTCTGGCACATGTGCACTGATTAGGCAAACACCTGTAGAGGATGAGTAGGGGATTTTGTCTGGTTTTGTCTGGGAGTGGGTGGGGGTGGTGGGGTTTGGATTTTTTTTTTTTACCTGGATTCTCAGTCCCTATATTCTCTGCAGCATTCTGTGTGAAGACAGTTACACCAAGACCCAGCCACTCCAGAATCATTGAGTGTTGTGAAGCACTGTAGTAAAACTCCTCATCACCCTAATACAAGGAAAGTCAAATCAGTCAGGTCTATTGCACTTCAGAGTCTTAGGGTAATGCCAAAGCAGCACCTTGCAGCAGCAAGCAACTAGGACAAGTCCCCCAAGAGACCTCCAGAGCTAGAAAGTCTGAGCAGCCTCAGATCTTTAGAAAAAACATTCCTCCTCCCCTTCAGTTTAAGAGGCTTTAATTTGGGCACTCATATTTATGCTGATAAAGATCACTTACAATCTTTGCAATTTAAAGGAGCTAAATTTAAAGCCTCTGCCTGCCCCACCTGGTCTAGACTGCTGTCACTTGGCACAGCTTGCTATTCACTCCCTCGCTTTCCTAGTAGCCAAGTGATGCTAAAAAGAAGCGTGCTTGGGGAACATCAGACTCATTAGCAGAAGGGTAGTAAGCATACATTGGGACTGCTTGACTCCAAAGAAAGGGACCTCTCTTACCAGACCATTCATCAGACTGTCCCAGTGCTGAGGCGCAATGCATGCTTCCAAGTAGCGTTCATGCAGAACTCCGTATGTCGTGCACTCTAAGTGCTTTGCTCCTTCATGGAGCTCCTGCTCAGCCTGTTTCATCTCACTGGTTATCTACTCATAACAAAAAGAAGGGAGGCATCATCATCCTCAGAGAGACAGTTCAGAAACAACGGGACAAGAAACTGATAAAGTGACCAAGGACAGAAGAAGTAAGCATCTGACTTCAGTAAGATAAGGTGAAGGAGCAGGTGTGGAGGAAGTTTAGTTAGCTCCTCCAATGCACAGGCAACCCAGTCCCATCAAATCCAGTGAAGTCTGCACTTACATTCACATAGGCTCTGCGGAGATGCATTGGCAAGTTGTATCGGAATTCACTCTTCTTTCTCAGCTCCCTCAGGGTGAATTGCTTCAGGACCTCACTGCTACTTCTTCCCCCAACACGTACCATCCCATGTTTTTGGAACGTGTATATTCCTGGGAATGAAAGAGAAATGTTAATATTAAAGAGGCAAGCTCTGTTTTCCGCAGTAGGACAAGGGGTAGGGAGAACACGCTCTGTCTGCAAATGCGACACTGGATTGGTCCGAGTGAGGTTTTCTTACCACGTACCAATGGGGCTAGAGTCACTAGAAAAAGCCAAAAGGGCAGGTCATTGTGCCAGAAGATGGGTAGAGTAAGAGTTATACTGTAATTTCTGCCTGACCCTCCATCATACTTGTCAGGTGCTCTTACCTTCTAAGAACTGATCCAGTGCATGGTTAGTGTAGCAGACTATAAGGATGGGAGACTTCTGGACGGTGCTTTGCCACACGTGCTTATTAGCCAAGAGAGCCTGAACAATCTTCAAACCCACGTACGTCTTCCCTGCAAAACAAGCTCAGAATCAGAAAAGGCTAATCCACCCTCTATGGAGCACCTTGAAACACAGGAATCATCAAAACCGGGTACAAGACTTCCTTCTAGGCTGCACATGCGACCTGTGCCACAAGAGCTGACCCTAGAGGTAACTAGTTTACAAAATGTAAGCAGAGTAGGATGACACTGTCTTTCTGGCCTGTAGTTGAGCAAGGCCATGCTCTGCAGGAATGTTGTCTTTTGGCTAATACACTGAACCTGGACCCAGGGTTTCCCCTGCCACTGCCTCCCCCAGCTCACTCTGAAACTGCCTTCATACATGACATTTGGCCCCAGATGAAACATCCACATACTACCAGAATACAAGGAGTGGTGCTTGTTGAGTTCAGGTACCATTTAAAACAATTACAGTTAATCTTGTAATGCTTTATTCACACAAGATCACGGCTGAACATTCCCAACGTTCTAACATGCTGTGAAGACAAATAAGACTGTTGCACAGCAAGAGGTACCACGTTATTGAAGATGGTTGAAATTTGTTTCACCCCAACAAGCAAAGCGAACAGTGCAGTTGGTGTCTACTTGCAACTATGCCAGCAACGTGTAAGATCATATATGGGTATTTGAGGATATTTTAACCTTCTCCCACAGCTCATGATAACTGGGGCTACTCAGGCATCAATTAGGTACGGGCCTAAAGCTCTAGACACAGTACAGCTGGCTTTCTCTGAAGTTAGTCTCCGTAAACGGCGCAATCAAGGAGAACTTAAATGATAGAGACTTAAAGTAAATGTTTCTTACCAGTCCCAGGAGGTCCTTGGATAATGGCCAGCTCCTTGGTGAGTGCAAGACTCAGTGCCTGCATCTGAGACTCATCTAATCTCAAGGTTTCCATTGAAGGCCACTGCTTGGGATCTAAAACATTAACACTTTGCATTCTCAAGCCATCAGGGTACATCTCTTCATCTGACAGGGGATCTTCCATTAAGGGTGCAAAGTTGTAGGTAGTATCCATTGTCAGGTATGCTGGCTTCTTCACCTGTGCATCACATTCCACAATGTACTTCTGGAATGGGATATCTTCTTCCCGGAGTTCCTGTAACCCTTCTAACACATGCCGGTAGGCCTCAAAGTAGGCAGTTGTCTCTACCATGAGGAAGGAGTCTGAGGGCTGAACCTCTGCCAGCAGTGCCTGGCTCTGTGCATTAAAGCATAGCTGCACAATCCCATGAGCAAGATCTGCATTATCACGATTAGAAACAGTGGCAAAAAGGCATGTTTCAAAGTGATCTTTGGACATGCAGATCAGGGATCCATATAGCAACCGCTTGGAATTCTGCCATCGTACAAACTTCAATGGTTTCACGTCAAATTGGACCTTGTAAACAATACCAGTTGGGGAACAGAGAGGGGTAATAATCCGTGTGTCAAAGTAGATCCTGATATCATCAAATCTTTTTTTTCTCAAACCTTTGTCCTCAAAGCTCTGCAAAAGCTCTGAGATACCCTCCCTTAAAGGCCTTACAAAGTCTTCTCTCAGAAGCCGGAAATGAGTGTCAAGATAAATGCTGGTGCTCTCATATGTTCCAGAAACAATATTGGGACGTAGAAAGGGTTTCTCATCATGGTGTACCTCATTATATGTCGGATAAATGGTCATTGTACGATAGGTTTCTTCCTGACCATCAGTCTGAGGCTGCAGAAGAGTATAGTTATCAGCCCGCAGCGTGCCTTCACGTCTCTTCTCCTGCAGATGCTGCACGAGCATCTGGACTTTATTTAGATTCTTCTCTGTTTCTTCTGCGATGTCCACACCAGAAGCTCTCAGGGCATTTATGGATGCTGGCAAGACTGTCAAGAGAATGGAGATTTTCTGCACAGAGCTGGCTGGGAAAATACTAATCAGGTCCTGAAGAAGTGAAATGATGTTGCTAATATGCACAGGGTACTGATGACGTACAGCAGGGACTGCTTCTGTTATCATGTCAGACACATACTGTGGCAGACAGATCTTGAGAAAGTTGGACTCCTTCACCACTCCAAGAAGCTGTTGGACACTCTGTCTATCCATTCGGGAACTGCATGCTTTTCGAAGCACCTGGCAAACAAGCTGAAGGAAATTGGGTTTCATAGCTGTTTGGGAAAGAAGCTCTTTCAAACCCGAACTGGAAGCAAGCGTGATGACAACTTCTGAAGGGTCCTTCTGGAGGAGACTTTCTAGGAATTTATAGCCAATCCTTTTGACTTGCTGAGGCTGCTCACTGAGCTGAGCACCACCTGGGGTAGGGTTCTGGTAGAAACGAGGATTCTCCCGAGGTTGCATCCTCCTTCCCCTGCCTTCATTTTCCTGCCCGTTCCGTAGCCCTCTAGCTCCTTCCTGGGCTTGTCCACCTTGATACCTCCTTCGTCTACCCCCATTTTCTTGCTCATGCCAGGGTCCTCTGGGCATCTCATGTGTTTGTCCACCTTGATACCTCCTTCCTCTACTCTCATTTTCTTGCTCATTCCAGGGTCCTCTGGCCCTCTCATGTGCTTGTCCACCTTGATGCCTCATTCCCCTTTGCTCATTCTCCCGTTCATTCCAGTGTCCTGTGGCTCCACTGTTGGCCTGTCCACCTTGGTTTCTTGGTTTATTCTTGCTTGATTGAGGAACCCTCCAAATCCAACCACCAAATCTCTCTTCTCTTTGCCCAGGTAGAAGAGTATAATCACTGGCTTGGGGGCTTTCCCCTAACTGAGCTGCCTGGCCTGGCTCATTATTTGTTCTGTTTCTGCCTCTTCTTATAAAGCCAGTATCCCAAAGATCTGCATGGCCTTGAAAACAAAACAAAACCACTCCTTAATTATAAATCAACCACATTATTAACCTGCCTCCCAACGGGCAGCATTTGGGCCTGACAGTCATCATATTTTGGACATTTGGCATCAAGTTAGAGAACTACAGTTATATTTGCACTCAGACTTTCAAATTGGTATTTCCTTTGTACCCCTTTTTCTAACTGCTAAAGAGTGCCATGCCTAGAATTCACTACAATTCACACGGCTGTTAAGCCATGAAGACACTAAAAACCTAAACCCTTTTCCACAGAACAGAAAGCAGAATTAAGAAGAGACAGAGATGACGTTTCCTGCACAGGACAGGATTTCCTTGGGAGTTAGCAATCATTGAAATAATGACAAAGGCGGTGGCAGCTGACTATGACTGCACATAGTACAGTTAAAACACAGACCTTTTGGACAGTCTGGCCTCTCAGAAAAGCAGGAAGCATAGACCATATAGCCTTTGTCATGCTCTCAGCAGAATACTTAGGGAAGTGCTGAAAACTAGCAGAAACAGTCAGCAAAGAGATTGCTGCAGTGCATCACCACTTCACGGCCCCAACCAGACTCTGGGGACAAATAAGGAAATGCTGGAATTTAGGCCTGAGAGGAAATTTTACTACAGACAGGCAGGGAAGGAGTGGCTCCCCCCTGTACCAGCACCACCCCCTAGGACTTCCACAGCCCTCTGCCCTGCATTTGCCAGTCAGCCCTCACCTCTCCCTCCAGCTCGGGGCTGCCGGCCGCAAGGCTTCTGCCCAGCACCCTCCATCGCTCGGCCCGGTGACTTCTCTGCGGGGCGTCGCAGCTCTCCAGGGCGAGGGCACTGTTCAGCCCTGGGGCTGCACCGCTCCTGCACCCAGAGACAGGCGTCGCTGTGCTCAGCGCTACTGCGCTCTCCGCACGGCCCGGGAGCCACCGGATCCGCCCCGCCACCGA